ACAACCTTCTTCCTCTTAACACCTCCAGAACGATTCATGCTGCTACCAGACATAGTCTTGGCCAAAAATGTTCAAAGTTACTATGAAAATAAAAAAGTTATTTAAAAAAATATTTCACTAATAGTGCGGCACTGTGGTGTAACACGAGGGTAGAGAGCACATTGCTTGACCAGGCCGGGATGGGTCAAGTAGGGGCAGGGAGGAGGCACGTTACGTAAGCCGCCAGGAGGGGAAAAAAAAAATTTGATGGAAACTTCAGCCTGTGCAAATTGTTTTTACGAAACTTGTATAGTATTTTCTATTACATAATTACTAGTATTTCTTTTGATTTTGGCTATGATGAACTGTTCTAAAATTGATGGTAATTCCTGTACTGTAGTGTATAGGTCCTGACTCCTGATCACTCTTTCAAATACAGTACTTTTATTATGTGGGACGTTAGTGCAACTGGTCTATAATTTTTTGCCAATGCTTTGCTCCCTCCCTTGTGTAGAGGGGCTATGTCTGCTACTTTAAGTGCATCTGGTATCTCCCCCGTGTCCAAGCTCTTCCTCCACACTATACTGAGTGCCTGTGCTACCGGCACTTTGCATTTCTTTATAAATATTGAATTCTATGAGTCTGGACCTGGGGCCGAGTGCATGGGCTACATATTGATCCAAATCGACACTCGCCTTTCCTAAGCATATTTAAACATTTTTTGGGATGTTGGTAACTGCATTCTAATCCTTTCTTATTACCAGCATATCTAATTTTTAGTGTACAATAGTTTTCATAAACAGTATTGTAGTACTCAACATACAGCAGAACTACTTAATAATCAACACAGTGTTAACAGTATAATACACTACAGTACATATTTACTGTACAGCATTCACAACTCCACGAGACTTCAAGATGGACATAACTCTAACAATAAGGTTAATAACAAATGTAACTATTTTTTAGTAGGGTAATAATATATAGGTACAGTATATAATATGATAATGCATTTTTATTGTGTACAAGAAAAAAAAAAGACTGACACAAATGCCTCCTGAAGGTCACCTCTTGCAATGCATCCAACGCACTGGGGTTGGTCCCATATAGTATGTTGAATCGAGGTTGTACTGTATTACAGAAGACCCCTAACTGTGATAAAAATGTCCAAGATTCTGATAATAGCAGGATTGTTGTGATAATTAGCGCTGTAGTGGGAGGAGTAATCTAGGTGGGGAGAGAGGTAGCATTGTCTGCCGACTCTGTGTGACCACCTTTTACTGTCTGGACTCACTATACCAGCTTAGTTGTTCGCTATGGTAAACAAACATGCAGATACTTATATATACCATCTGTATATAGTGAATAAAAGCAAAAAACAGTATGGTGGGATGAGAAGGATGTCGAGTCAGGTGAGGTGAGGTGAGGGAGGGAGTGGCAGCCAGTGGCTGGCTAGCTGGTGTGTGGTGGTCACTACTTGCAGCTGTTTGACTCGGCACCCCAACTAAGTGGTTCCTTATGGTGAACACAAATGTAGATACTTATATATAACATGTATATATAGTGTAATGACAGTAAAAGGAGTGTTAAGAGAAGCCATTTTGGTGAGGGAGGTGACAACATCTGCATGACTTGTCATGCTGGGTAAGGGTGGCTACCATGCTCTTTGGGCACTATACCACCTTAGTTGATCAGTTATGGTGAACAAAACATGTAGATACTTATATATAATGTGTGCATATATGGTAATAACACCACAACAGTATACGTGAAGGAGGACTGTTAGTACAACTGGCCTTGAACCAGTGATGATGGGAGGGAGGGAGGGAGCACGAGTTGTGTGTGGCCACCTGTTACTGTCTGCCGTCACCATACAAGATTAGTGGTTCGCTATGGGGAACACAAATGTAGATACTTATATATAACCAGTGTATATAGTGTAATAACCGACAAGGTATTTGTTCACTGTTTTATGAATATAATAACTGAATCAATAATTTGCACACCATAATTTTCAATACAGTGATGATTCACACATTGTATTATATAAATATATCACACAACACACTATTGAATAATATTACAGCAAAAAAAAAGGAACAAATCAATCATTGACATTGAAATAATTAGGTAATTATATCTTTGTGGCAACCTGCTGCCTGACAGCTGGGGCGAAGCAGAACTTCCCGATGCTTGCCGAGTCAGCGCCTCTTTTTTTTTTTTTTTTTGCCAGACTTCCCTGACTTATTGCCGCCAAAATATGTCACTTACGATTTTTTTTATTATTTTTCCCGTGAACAGGGAACACAAATTAACAGGTTAACACTATCGGTCACCTTGGACCTGACTCGCGTCCATTATTTTTCTCTTGAATCCTAACTTTGGACTGGACTTATGTCCAAAACAAAAATATTTGTATAAAATTCATTTTTCATCCAATCGACTTGGGGATACTTTTAAAATGAGCGCCATAAAATTCCCGTTCTCCTTGATAGGCCTACTGGCTGCGTGGTGCTTCGGCACAAGGCGGCGACCTCATATTTTGTTGACATCGCTTGTGACTGGATTGTTGTCCCCTAGCGTCCCCAACTCATGCGGTTTTTTGTGTTTATTTCGCTTCGTGTGTGTTCTCCAACCTTTATATACATTCAACGATGGCAATGTGGGCCCCTATTAAGGTGGGACACTGAGGAATGGCCTATCACAACAGACACCATTCCACGCGCTCTGGATCTAAATGCTGACGCCAGTACTGCTGATGCTGCAAATCTGTCAACGCCGGGACCATCTGGCGTGAGGCGGCCTTTATTCGCTGCACACCACGAACCTTCCTCATCTGACTCTGAACTCGAGGCAGATGACCTAGACGCAACAGGTGTTGCAGGAAACGTAGCACCAGGTCGTTTATTTAGCACAGAAACTTTTATTTAGTTTTGTGTAAGTAATTAATTACAATGTATATACCTATACTGTTGGTAGACCCATACGTATCCATCATATGGGGATAATATTATGTTTTCCTTGTAGAGCGTTTTATTGCGAAAAAAATGATACCAAAATGTAGACCCAAAAATAGCTTTATAAAAAAATAAACTCCTTTATGTGTTTATTGGGTGTACCGGGTGTAAAGGGGGTGGGAATGGGTGGACTCTAGCGGGTAAAGCACCCGCGACTTTATATGCGGTTGCGGGTGGGGCGCCCACATGTTTTGATATTGATATGCATATGTCCGTGTAGAGAATTTTATTGCGATCACAGTGATACCAGAATCAACGTGATAGATCATGATTTGACTTGACAAACATGATAACAGCAACAATGTATCCACAATGTTTAGCGCGCACGGCTAACAAGCGACTTCGCTTTTTATTTGGTACGGGTCTCACAAATGCTTTAGTGACATTTTATATGTATGTTTCTCTAGAACATTCTATTGCACACACAATGATACCAAATAGAAACACATGCATCAATAAATAAGGTCACAACACTGAAAAGATTATACACTTTTCAGTAGTCGCGAACATGCTGTGCTGTAGGTCGCGCGGTAACGGGTAACTCTTCCCTGACTTCCCACGTCTGGCGGGTGGGGGTGGATCACGAATAGGACTTGATATTCGTATGTCCGTATACGGAATTTTATAGCGATTCCATTGATACCCAAAAAATGATATAGGACAATTCTGGAGGTGACTACCCTAAATATAGTAAAAACATTTCAATGCTGTTTTGTGCGCGCGGCTAACGAGCGACTTAGTTTTTTATTTGGTACGGGTCTCACGAATGCTTTAGTGACATTTTATATGTATGTTTCTCTAGAACATTCTATTGCGAACACAATGATACCAAATAGAAACCCATACATCAATAAATAAGGTCACAACACTGAAAAGAGTATACACTTTTCAGTGTTGCCGCTTGAGTGCCCAACACTCAAGTGGCCTTGACACTTTCCCCAAGTGTCAAGGCCACTTGGGGAAAGTTTCACGGCTGAGTGCCGGTGCGCGATAGTGCAGGAACATTTTTTTTTTTATGTGCCCGTGGGTGACAAATGCCAAATTGCCCTTAGCAACACAAGAGTTAAAAACCTTCTATAAATTCAGTTTCTGTTCAATTATCAGAATTTTTACATATTTTGTGTAAAGTGGTTTGTTCTACATTCTGGATGTTTAGTTTTGTCCGTAAACCCCAAACATTGGAGTTATACGTTGTTGTGTCTATTTCTGGCGTTTATTTAAACACTATCGGTAACTTTGGACCGGACTCACGTCCATTATTTTTCTCCCGAGTCCTAACTTTGAACCGGACTTGCGTCCACTACAAAAAATATTTGTATAAAATTCATTTTTTATCCAATCGACCTCGGGATAGTATCAAAATAAGCAGCTTTAGAATGTGCACAATTTGATACCAAAAATGAAAGATGTAACATGAAACTTGATATCCGAACACTTATATGATTATAAATAGGCTTTTGGTCAAAATTTTAAAATATTTGTTAAAATTCTATTTATTATGCTACCATGTTGGGACTAGTTTTAAAATGCGCGCCTTTACGTCGTGAACAATTTGATACCCAAATGAAAGATGCAACACAAAAATTTATGTCAGAACACTGGAAAGATATAAATAATTTTGTGATGATGAGCTTCCAGAATTAAAATATTTGTTAAAATTCCAGTTATTGCTCTATTATTATGGGACTAGTTTTAAAATACGTGCCTTTTTATTACGAACAATTGACATGATATATATCTACCTCATTACATACACAAAATTATATAGTGAGGTGTGTGTGTATGTTTTTTGAAGTATTATTACCCATTTTTGGTAAACCAGCTTAGGTGACCTTTGATTGTCAACAACAGATGGCAGCATTTACCAGGTCTGAGTGCCTGCTTCGACAGTCTGAAGAGCTGGCTCAGCATTACAACATCAGGATATCTGTCTCATCATAGCTCAACTTTACCTAATGATGTGAAAACTTAAAAAGGTGAACTGTAAATATGAACTCGACTCACCTCTATTGATCCACTGGGCAAGCCATCGGGAGAGCTGTACAGCTCGCTTGGGAAACATATGGAAGAACTTGGCTTTAATAGCACCTTGTGAAAGATGTATAACTCCATTTATTAGGTCTTTGTGCGTGGTACCAGCAACACAGCGGGAAAACAGATAATCCACGACGAGCGCAGCCTCTGCTCGTAACCGTGTCTGGATGCTCTTCTGAACTTCCTCCACAGTATAAGGTTGATCTAAAGCCAACTGTTGATGAAAAGTAACGTCATGATGTCTGCTTATATTTCTTTTAAAACTAAACAACAAAATCTTAAAAGAATAAACAGTGATACAGAATGTTAAACCTTGTGAAATACCTGTACACACACAAATAATATGGTAGGTAAAATAATTATATATATATATATATATATATATATATATATATATATATATATATATATATATATATATATATATATATATATATATATATATATATATATATATATATATATATATATATATATATATATATATATATATATATATATATATACAACGCTGGAAAAAAAAATATATATATATATTTTTTTTTTCCAGCGCCTCAGTGTGGCGATACAGAGGGGAAATGCGCACTGCATCCAGGGTTCCTGCCCGCCATCTGAGGAGCTGGAGGAACTCGACAACCTATGACAACCATCTTTGTAACCTATATGTAACTCCTTTTTTGTAACAAAGTTCAAATAAAGTAAATATATATATATATATGTGTGTGTATATGTATGTGTGTGTATGTGTGTATATGTATGTATGTATGTATGTATGTATGTATATATATATATATATATATATATATATATATATATATATATATATATATATATATATATATATATATATATATATATATATATATATATATATATATATATATATATATATGTATGTATGTATTATTAAATATGACCGAAAAAGTAAGATTAATAATTCTAACACGAATTTTCTCAATCTTTCGTACATTACGCTTCACTGTTGGAGGTAAATCAAAAATCAATTCTCCAAAATTCATTTTTATTTCTAGTCTGACGCGACACGGGCGCGTTTCGTAAAACTTATTACATTTTCAAAGACTTTAGTTCACAAATACACAACTGATTAGAAGAAGTCAACACCAGCAATCAACAGCCAATTATTGCACAACTATATTCTACCCACCTCAAGACTCCGCTCCAATATACAAGCATCAAGAAATATGGACCAATAGGCTTCCTACAAACACTTCTATTCAATACCCATTGTTTGTGTTCTGTCTTGTGTTGATACTTTTAATACCCTATTAATATCCCCTCTTGTTCTGTCTTGTGTTAATGCCACATCACCCCTCCCACCTCACTCAAATGTAGATATAAAATCGGAGATACGTAAGTTCTAATCAGTTGTGTATTTGTGAACTAAAGTCTTTGAAAATGTAATAAGTTTTACGAAACGCGCCCGTGTCGCGTCAGACTAGAAATAAAAATGAATTTTGGAGAATTGATTTTTGATTTACCTCCAACAGTGAAGCGTAATGTACGAAAGATTGAGAAAATTCGTGTTAGAATTATTAATCTTACTTTTTCGGTCATATTTAATAATATATGTCTACAGGAAAGACTGCTACCAAAATATACTAATATATATATATATATATATATATATATATATATATATATATATATATATATATATATATATATGTATATATATATGTATATATATATGTATATATATATGTATATATATATGTATATATATATGTATATATATATGTATAACCATATATGTATATATGTATATATGTGTATATATATATATATATATATATATATATATATATATATATATATATATATATATATATATATATATATATATATATATATATATATATATATATATATATGTCGTACCTAGTAGCCAGAACTCACTTCTCAGCCTACTATTCAAGGCCCGATTTGCCTAATAAGCCAAGTTTTCCTGAATTAATATATTTATTATAATTTTTTTCTTATGAAATGATAAAGCAACCCTTTTCTCTATGTATGAGGTCAGTTTTTTTTATTGGAGTTAAAATTAACGTAGATATATGACCGAACCTAACCAACCCTACCTAACCTAACCTAACCTATATTTATAGGTAAGGTTAGGTTAGGTAGCCAAAAAAAGCTAGGTTAGGTTAGGTTAGGTAGGTTAGGTAGACGAAAAAACATTAATTCATGAAAACTTGGCTTATTAGGCAAATCGGGCCTTGAATAGTAGGCTGAGAAGTGCGTTCTGGCTATTAGGTACGACATATATATATATATATATATATATATATATATATATATATATATATATATATATATATATATATATATATATATATATATATGTATATATATATGTATAACCATATATGTATATATGTGTATATATATATATATATATATATATATATATATATATATATATATATATATATATATATATATATATATATATATATATATATATATATATATATATATATATATATATATATATATATATATATATATATATATATATATATATATATATATATATATATATATGTATATACACACACACACACATAGTTTTTATATAGCGTTGCTGAACAAACTTTCAAGTGTAGATATGATAGAGCCCAGTAGGCTCAGGAACCTGTACACCTGTTGATTGACAGTTGAGAGGCGGGACAAAAGAGCCAGAGCTCAACCCCCGCAAGCACAACTAGGTGAGTACACACATGCCAAAATTATGAGAAGGATTAAGACAGAGGAGGACAGTTTAAGGCTTCAAGAAGACCTGGACAAGCTGCAGGAATGGTCGAACAAATGGTTGTTAGAGTTTACCCCAAGCAAATGTAATGTAACGAAGATAGGGGTAGGGAGCAGGAGACCAGATACAAGGTATCATTTGGGAGATGAAATACTTCAAGAGTCAGAGAGAGAGAGAAAGACTTGGGGATTGATATCACGCCAGAACTGTCCCCTGAAGCTCATATCAAGAGGATAACATCAGCGACATATGCCAGGTTGGCTAACATAAGAATGGCCTTTAGAAACTTGTATAAGGAATATTTCAGAATATTATATACCACATGTCAGATTAATCCTGGCGTATGCGGCTCCAGCATGGAGTCCATATCTAGTAAAGCATAAGACTAAACTGGAAAAGGTTCAAAGGTTTGCCACCAGACTAGTACCAAGCTGAGAGGTATGAGCTACGAGGAGAGACTACGGGAATTAAACCTCACTTTGTTGGAAGACAGAAGAGTTAGGGGGGGGACATGATCACCACATTCAAGATTCTCAAGGGAATTGATAGGGTAGATAAAGACAGGCTATTTAACACAAGGGGCACACACACTAGGGGACACAGGTGGAAACTGAGTGCCCAAATGAGCCACAGAGATATTAGAAAAAACTTTTTTAGTGCGAGTGGTTGACAAATGGAATGCATTAGGAAGTGATGTGGTGGAGGCCGACTCCATACACAGTTTCAAGTGTAGATATGATAGAGCCCAATAGGCTCAGGAACCTGTTCACCTGTTGAGTGACGGTTAAGAGGCGGGACCAGAGCTAGAGCTCAACCCCCGCAAGCACAATTAGGCGAGTACACACACACACCTAATGCCATGTTATAGAATGTGGAATTGGAGAACATAGACCCCACACAACCTATAAATTATGTGAGAAATATTTAAAGAATTCTGACAAAGAAAGGGATCTAGGGGTGGTTCTAGATAGAAAACTGTCACCTGAGAACCACATTCAGAACACTGTGCGAGGAGCCTATGCTACACTTTCTAACTTCAGAATTGCTTTTAAATACATGGATGGAGAAATACTAATGAAATTGTTCACGACTTTTGTTAGGCCAAAGCTGGAATATGCAGTGGTTGTGTGGTGCCCATATCTTAAGAAGCACATTAACAATCTGGAAAAGGTGCAACGGCATGCCACTAAGTGGCTCCCAGAACTGAAGGATAAGAACTACGAGGAGAGGTTAGAGGCATTAAATATGCAAAAACTAGAAGATAGAAGAAAAAAAAAAGGCGATATGATCACTACGTTCAAAATAGTAACAGGAATCGATAAAATTGATAGGGAAGAATTCCTGAGACCCGGAACTTCAAGAACAAGAGGTCATAGATTTAAACTAATGAAACAAAGCTGCCAGAGAAATATAAGAAAATTCACTTTTGTAAAGAAAGTGGTAGATGGTTGGAACAAGTTAGGTGAGAAGGTGGTGGAGGCCAAGACCGTCAGTAGTTTCAAAGCGTTATATGACAAAGAGTGCTGGGAAGACGGGACACCACGAGCGTAGCTCTCATCCTGTAACTACTCTTAGGTAATTACCAGCCAGTGTGGTTCACACAACAAGTGAATGACTGAGTTTCCATGATTGTCTTTCACTGGTGTATGGCACCCCTGTCTTTGAAAATGAATTTCAAGGCTAGAGCGTGAGAAGCTAGCCACATGTGGTGAAATCTCTGTATAGGCTGTTTCTGTGATGAAACACAGGTGTGAACGTGGACAGATATAGGGAATACTGTGAGCTTTACGTGGCTTTCCTTCGGATGTGTCGCCACAATTCAGTGACCTATGGCCTCAAAATAATAAAATTAACAAATCATTTCTAAAACAGGTATTTTAATAACTTTTTTATCATACTAATGATATTTTTAAACTAAATATAAAACTAAAATTATACTGTAATATGATAGACATCTGCTATTTGAGAAATTATTTATGCTATTGGCTCTAGCACAGAAATAACATCACATGAGACCAGAAGACATGGCAGGATGTGCAGAATACCCCCGTTGAAAGGCAGAGGTGCAACAGGTACTCCGAGAGAACTCTATCAACATCAGAGGCCCGAGACTGTTCAACACGCTTCCACTACACATAAGGGGCATAACTGGCCGACCCCTCACAGTGTTCAAGAGAGAACTGGATAAGCACCTCCAAAGGATACCTGATCAACCAGGCTGTGACTCATACGTCAGGCTGCGAGCAGCCACGTCTAACAGCCTGGTTGATCAGTGCAGCAACCAGGAGGCCTGGTCGACGACAGGGCCGCAGGGACACTAAGCCCCGGAAGCACCTCAAGGTAACCTCAAGGTAGCTTTCAAAACAACTCAAGTGCAGGTGGACAGGTCTAATCCCTGTGTACACAGCACCATGTGCTTTTCCTGAGGATGTATTGCCAGT